CCTGTGCTCTCAGTTCTTGGGTTACTGTTTCTCTAACAGCACTCACCAATATATATTGTTACTTATTTGTGTAAGCACACTGAACTCTCACTGAGACAGTGACTTGAGGGCAGAAACTGCTTGTTTTCCTAGCACCTTAAAACCTGGTTCATAGAAAGTTCCCAGTAAATATTTGTTGAATAAACCAAATTATTTTGTTTTGTTTTTTTGGTTGACATGTATCCTTTTTCTCATGCATTTTACAAATGCTATTATAACACAAAAAAATCTCTAATGCACACAACCATCAAAACCTATGAGTAGTGAATGCACATGAAAATAGGCTTAGGTGGATCTCTCTGATGTTAGTCGTGAAGTATGTATAGATAAGTCAGGTTAGGAACAGTCTCCCACGAGCTAGGCCCAAAGGCAACAATTTCCCTACTTGCCTTAGGGCCAACTAAAACCTTTTCCATTTTTTCCATGGATCCTTAGCATCAAACTATCAAGCAGTGTTTTTGCTTTTTTTTGAGAAAGAGATACAGCTTTTACTTGAGAGTTACTCTAATAATATTTTAATCTTAACAATTTTACATTAATCTTCAGATTCCCTTGAATTAACTAGCTTTCCAGATGAAACATAGCAAAATTCTTAATTAGCAGTCTGAACCAAGTTTTTGGACTGGAGACCTGATTATGCGTTCTTAAAATGCAATTTTCTCTGAAAGTAGCTCAAGGCAAGGAGAGTAGTTTCACCTCTTCAATGCCTAAGCCTTACCTCCCTGCATCCTTTCAACCTGTTCCTCGTTATTTCCTTCTAAAATTATTTTGAGGAACAGTGACTGAAAAGAATCATGGTTAGGTGGGATTAATAACTAACTTTTTTTCTTTCTGGCTGTGCCATGTTATTACATGTTTCTTTCCAATTAAGGGACTTTGACAAATGCTCAAGAGAATGGACTAAGTCGAGTCTAACTGTTCCAACTGTCAGCTAAAAAAAAAGTTTTTATAGGCATTATATTAAGGAATAGTGCTTACAATGAATTGTTTTTGTTAAGGCTTGTATAAATATTTCTTCTTTTAGGGAAATGATTATTAAGGAGTGGGGGAAAGTGTATATGAGGCTTCCCAGGGGGATTTTTCAAGCTACACATTTATGCTCTACAAATATTCTGACATAGTCCAACAAACTGTCTTCTCATTGGAATCAATGCTCTAATGACCCATTAATTATTGTGTGTCATATCCTTTTGTGTTAGGAATTATTGTCTTAGGCTTATCAGTGAATGTTTCCAATTAGAATTCTAGAAAAATATAAGAAGATATTTTGTTTAAATTACATTATTTATTTTTAGATCATCCCTCTTGGTCCTGCATGCATTATTAGCACAAAAAGTTGAACTTGATCACAACCTCCTTTGAAGAGAGTAGGTACACATCGCCACCTGAGGTTTCTTCATAAACAGCCCAAGAATCCCAGGCCTTGGTAACACTGTCAGCAACCTACACAATGTTCATAGAAAAATTTACCCAATATCCTTTGTTTAATGTAAACAAGACAGGAGGCAAAACAGAGTATTACAGTGACACTATTTTACAGGGCCCAGAAATATGATTATCATGTTTTAACATATCAAGTGTCACAATGACATGCATATTTTGACTAACTGTACAACCCAAAATATAATTACCATCTAATTTCTGGTTTCAGCATTTCACTGAACTTCTGTCAATACCTATGAACTCCATAATTAAATGGTAATGTATATTAATGCAGTAATTTATGGCAATGTTACCATGAATTATGAAGTAATTCCATAATTAGTGCCCTGTAAAATCAAGTGTAACAATTTTTACACTAGCAACAGTGTAAGCAAGCTAAGGATTTTGGTCCTTATATATATACATATATATATATATATATACACACACACATGTACACACAATAATGTACAATTAAACCAAAAAGCTATGAATCCATTCATAGCTCCTATATTGCACAGACAGATACATTATGAGAACATTAATTACATAGTTTTAATGTGAGCACTACCATGATAATTGGCTAAGGACAAATCTGAGTTCTATCAAGTAAAGAATGTGGCTCATTACTGAAAATAAAACCAAAGACTATATTGTTAGAGTTAAAAAAACAAATGTACATACCTATTTTTATCAAACTTAGATATGCAAAGCAAAGCTAAAGTTCAGTTGGAACTGTCTATGGCAATGAAATGTTAAGGTGGTACTTTCCACCCAACAGTGCATTTCAGTCACTGTTTTACAAGTATTGAGTAATAGAAATATTCAGCTTCCAAGGAAAGACAGTAAGAGGAAAACTAGTAATGCGCTACAATTTTCATTAACTAATCCAACTCACTGTGAGAATTTGTGCTGGCTCTAGGTCTGAATTAAATATGAAAAAAAAAAGAAGGAACTTAGAAGCAAAACAGTTTATACCTTAAGCTTTAACTGATTACAAATCAAAGTCATTACAATAACTTAGGAAAATAATTAAATCTTAAGAAGCAGCATACACACACAGAAATGTCAAAGTTAAAGCTTTTCTGAGCTTCGTTTCATGGATTAGCTATAAGGTCCAATGTGAAATCAAGGATAAAATAGTATTTGGTTTGAGAGGTACTATCATTGCTATGACACCTACTGAACACTACAAAAACATTAAGAAATATCTAATATCTCTTAATGCCTTATTTTAAATACACCTACATCAAAGTAGACTACAGCTACATCTAAAAATGGAAATGTTGTAGTGTTCCTTGCATGGACTGATCAATAAATACAGCAAACTGAACAATGGTTTCCCACCATTAAAAATCATTTTTAAGAAATCATGCACAAAGTAACTATCTCCCACTTTTGTTTTTTCATTGTGTTGCTTAATGAATTTCTTAGAATGAGCTAGCAAAGATGTACATTAAATTATAAACTTTTTCTTTTGTTAACAGTGGTTAAGCATTCTGGAGACAAGAATATTCATAATCTTCTGACATTTTGTTCTTAATAAATAGCAAAAACTATAAGTCAGCAAAGATAATAGAACAAAATTTTAGCAGTAGGTGTAAAACATGCTTTTATAACTACCATGATAATTGGCTAAGGACAAATCTGAGTTCTATCAAGTAAAGAATGTGGCTCATTACTGAAAATAAAACCAAAGACTATATTGTTAGAGTTAAAAAAACAAATGTACATACCTATTTTTATCAAACTTAGATATGCAAAGCAAAGCTAAAGTTCAGTTGGAACTGTCTATGGCAATGAAATGTTAAGGTGGTACTTTCCACCCAACAGTGCATTTCAGTCACTGTTTTACAAGTATTGAGTAATAGAAATATTCAGCTTCCAAGGAAAGACAGTAAGAGGAAAACTAGTAATGCGCTACAATTTTCATTAACTAATCCAACTCACTGTGAGAATTTGTGCTGGCTCTAGGTCTGAATTAAATATGAAAAAAAAAAGAAGGAACTTAGAAGCAAAACAGTTTATACCTTAAGCTTTAACTGATTACAAATCAAAGTCATTACAATAACTTAGGAAAATAATTAAATCTTAAGAAGCAGCATACACACACAGAAATGTCAAAGTTAAAGCTTTTCTGAGCTTCGTTTCATGGATTAGCTATAAGGTCCAATGTGAAATCAAGGATAAAATAGTATTTGGTTTGAGAGGTACTATCATTGCTATGACACCTACTGAACACTACAAAAACATTAAGAAATATCTAATATCTCTTAATGCCTTATTTTAAATACACCTACATCAAAGTAGACTACAGCTACATCTAAAAATGGAAATGTTGTAGTGTTCCTTGCATGGACTGATCAATAAATACAGCAAACTGAACAATGGTTTCCCACCATTAAAAATCATTTTTAAGAAATCATGCACAAAGTAACTATCTCCCACTTTTGTTTTTTCATTGTGTTGCTTAATGAATTTCTTAGAATGAGCTAGCAAAGATGTACATTAAATTATAAACTTTGTCTTTTGTTAACAGTGGTTAAGCATTCTGGAGACAAGAATATTCATAATCTTCTGACATTTTGTTCTTAATAAATAGCAAAAACTATAAGTCAGCAAAGATAATAGAACAAAATTTTAGCAGTAGGTGTAAAACATGCTTTTATGCTCATGCCACATGATGTACATATGCAAGGGTGCTACACAAAAAGAACTTAGAAAGGGAAACAACAGCTCCTTTCAAGCTGGAAAGTTTGACAGTCTGCTTCCCCAAGTATCAGTGAATGGAAAGATAAAGAGGAAAGTGCTGCTGCTTAACATTTCAACTTAAAAAAAAAAGAAGAGGATAGCTTAAAAGCAATATTTGAGTGATAAGCATCACTTAAAGGAAGAACAGAAAGTGGATTAGCAAATACCATTTTGTAAGTCAAATACAAGCATGCTGTGCACAGCGCAGCTTTGCTAAACTTCCCACACGTGTTCCGACATATCTACCCAATTTACCCAAATTCTTTAACATGTAAACAGGACAGATTAGTTTGTTTTTTTTGTAAATCTGTTTAGAATCATTTAAAACAAAAGACTGAACAAAATGAAAAAAAAATGTAAACATTAGGGAGGCCACTGGCATTTTGATTGCCGCCAAAGAGTTATCAGTTTCCCACCTGTACGCTACCATGCATTTCAGTAAGAAAACCAAAGTATAAAGCAATTTTATAAAGCAATGTTCGGAGAGGGAGAGAGAGAAAAAAAGGTTCTCAATCCAATTACATGTTAATTAGCTTAAAAAATACTATTTAGCAAACACTACCAACGTTGAGCATAAATTGAACATTGTTGGAAAAATGACACATTTTAAATAAATCGGGACCCATACATGAAAATTAGTCTCTAACATGGCTATGTGCACAAAAGAGTAAAAGAATGTTTCTTTAAAAATATATATATTAATCAAGAATTTCTTTATCATATTAAAGTGTTATTCTTAGAAAAGCTGAAGAAAGTTAATGGTGCTCTACACATTTTTATCTATTAACTCATTTGAACGTTTCTGAATTTTATTTTTTCTCATTTACAGTCTTTTTCATATTTTGTTTGATAAGAATTCTGACCTTAAAAAGTTATAAAATTATTTTTTGCTACTTATTAATCCAAAAGAATATAAGCATTTGAGTCCCAGAGAATGTCAAAATGCTACCTGAAAGGATCTTAAAATAACAGAAATATCATCAGTTATGACATCAGAAATTTTGCAGCTTTTCACACAGGCATTAGAAATGCTTACTTCCTGAAGTTCCTTTGATTGTATCCTGGATTCAAGAACGTGCAATTTTTTATATAGAACCATTATGATAAAGCCAATGAAAACAACATTATACAACATTTTTCTGGAAGCGTCCACTCAATGGGTTGGTTCTTAATGGTTCTCTCCAGTTCATAGCAATACTTGATTTAAAAAGGCTTTTTATCCTCTCTTGGCTGGGCAGATCTGAGTCTTTTTTGATGAAATGTACACAGTAGTTCTGTTCCCTTAGTCACTTGAAAGATGCTATTTATGGTGGGGAGGAAGCGTGGTATTTCACAAATGCAATGGCCGCCAGCTCCTTACAGAACTCTTCCAGCACAATCACACCCTCCAGCAATGTGATGTGGTCAACACTGGTAGGAGAGGAGCAGGTAATGAATCGATTCAAGATATTAACAGATTATCAAGTTTTGCCAAAATTCTTAGATCAATAAAATGTGTAAAACACTTGACTTACATAGGGCCTTCAGGTTCCAAACCCAGTAACCGCTTTCTGACTAAGAGAAGCTTGGGAGTGAAGTCTTGGATGCGCTGGATTCGAACCATCAGGTCTCCAACAACCTGTATCAAGGGGAAAAAGGAACTCAGCTCCTGAAATCAACTACTTAGGGATTTTCAGGATAAAAAAATACTTCATTTCCTACTACCAAATGAGGAGTGCCGTCTTGCACACTTCACACTTAACCATCATTGACAAAGGACTCATACCTATTTCTTAAAATATAAGTTACATTTATCACTTAAAAGAATGAATTTTTATTATTTCTATCTTCATGTTCTATAATAAAACGATTACTTCTAAACAGCAGTGCACAGTATTTTTCATTATGTCACGCTAATTACCTACAGTGATATTAAGATGTTGATTGGATAGGTTTATCAGATCTAGAGAATAAAACAGAACTAGAAACTCACCCTGACGATGACAGAGAAGAGAGATCGGCAGCCAGACGCGAGGTTCACGTACGGATCCAGAAGGTGCTCGTGTATGTGTGGGTGAGGGAAAAGAGAGAGTCTAGACAACACCGAGGTCACTTGTAAGTTCACATCGTATGGCTGTGGAGAGGTAAGAACAAAGACATTGGACGTTATTTATAGGCACTTAATTTACCATTTCAATTTGTCTTTTCAAGAAAGGAAAATCTACCATCTTTTCCTCTCTTCGCATGCTCTTCTACAATGAAAATATCTGTAACTAAATTAGCTCTCACCATCGCAAAGTACATTTATCACAGTCCCAAAACTTAACAAAAAACATGAATATAAACATATAGAAAAACCAAATATATAACACAGAATGTCTTTTTATGCAAGTTGTTTTAATTAATGAAATAGTTTAAGAGGTCATCAAAATTCACTAGTCACATGTAACATTAATTACAAACAACAGAGGGACACAAGAGCAAAGACAGAAGGGAAGGTATTAAAGCACTTTTAAATACACTAGCCTAATTTTAGAAATTATATTCCTCATCTCAGATTATCCAACTACTGCCAATTACCAAAGGTATGTATATAATAAAAATACAGTCACACCCATCACAAAACCTTGTTCAAAGAATAAAAACATTTGGGGGTAGAAATGGCTACCGTATGCCTCAAAGTGAATGAAAAGATCTGCAATGGTGATTACAGACAGAGACCATCTCATACACCGCATGGGCGTTATCCTCCCAGACAACTGTTGTGTACAGTTCCTCATACATTTTCTTGTATGTAGTATCAGAATTTTACTTGGATTCTAGTCCTTTAGTTTTAATCTGTTTATTCTTCATAGAAAGTGGCTTGGAGACGCTTTAGAGAGTGAGTCAAAATCAAAGCAACAAGCATATTGTACAAGAAGAGCTACTATTTTTGTGCCTAGAATTTTCAGCACCAGTCTCTCCTACCCAGTTTTTTTCTAAGCAGCCAGAGAAAACTGAGGGAGAAGTGGCTGCAGTGAGAAGGCTGAAAAGAAGCCAGGTGACTGGGTGGGTGAGAAACAGGTCGCAGCACGAGGGAGGGAGAGTGATTCAGGACCCTGCAAACACGGACCACAGGCTCTGAGTATTTCACTCTCATTCACTGAGCAGCTTTTAAACCCTGATCATGATGAACACCAATTAAGAAGTTAATGTTTGGTATTCAGAGGACAATAAACGGTCAGGTATGTGCCAGAAGGTATCAGAGATTCTGTTATGTGAACGAAACCTCAAGTCCTGTGTTACAGGTCTAATTATAAGTCTTTTTCACTTACTACTAGATTCATGAATATGGATTTTCTGGGAAAAAAGAAAAGCCATCCCTAAGTCACCCTATTCAAAATCTAGCCTTAAGCAAGATGAATGAAAAGGAGATACTATTCTACTAAAGAATAGTTTGAATTGTATATTCTCCTACTTAATACTTGCAATAGAATATCCTTCTCCAAGACTCAACTAGTACAATTAATTCACATTAAACTGTTTTAGGCACACACCTACACACAAGAACATTGTCTAAAATATTTAAGAAGAATGCATTTGTTAAAAAATGTAGACGACATCATTTAAAATAAAGCAAGTACAGTTTTATATGGGACTTCACTTCAGGTGGTTCAGATTTTACGTTACTAAATTCTGCCATTTACAACTGCTTAAATAAATTAATCAACAAAATCTGGCTTTAAACATTATACTGCCACTTCAATATTTTATCCATATGGAGTTACTTAGGTTTTTAGCTTTATTTGGACAAGAATCTATGTCTTTGGCTAAGAAATTTAAGGTGATAGATTATTTTTTATTACTGTGAAATGAAGATAAATTTCACCTAGAAATTAGCTAAATTATTTAAATTCAACTAAATTTTAGATAGAAATTGTTCCACCATATCCTGAAATGGTCTCTACTTCATATTGGTAACAACTTTAAATAAAACAAGTTGGCCTTTTGGGGATTGTTTTTTTAATGCCTATTATTTTTTATCCCTTTATTTTGTACTGTATACAGTATTCACCTGAAATGAAAGCTAACCAGATTTTTCTGACATGTCAAATGGACGTGGCCCATTTTTGACTGAGCTCACACTAAATACAAGGTCAGAATTTTAAAGCACACTGATGTCACCAGCAAACTCAGCCTCAGTCTTTTGACTAAGGTCCAAGAATGTAGATAGTCAAAATAATAAGACTTAAGGCAAATTTTTAAAAATCTCAACAACTGATGTCTCTTAAGTTTCTAGTAATACCTACATTTAAGAAGATTTTTTTTAAGTATCTGAAATTGCTTTCTTTGTTTAGCTCTAACAAGTAAATCCAAATAAGAGGTTAAGGCAAATAATATCAACTTCACTTTAACAAGAAGAAAATGTGACAAGTGGCTGAGTGAGTTCCCGACATCAAATTCTTCCCTGTCAGGGTGGGAACAAGAACCTGGGCTTCCCTACATTTTTCTTGGTATCCTTTACACTCTGCTGTGGACCTTAGCATTTTACCACCTTTTAAAAACCACCAGCTACAAAGAACACTAAATGTTTTGTGCTATAAGGTATTTTTGAAAAATGAATGTTGTGAGAACCCAAGTGTCATGAATACTTGATGTTTTAACTTCACAGTTATACATATAGAAAACTAATTTATTAATTGTCCATAGTAAATGTTTAATACTCACCTGGTTACCCTGACCCCATGGGGAGTATATACTTAGAAAATATAAGCGAACATCATATTCAGCAAAAACATTTAGAGAAGAAAGAAAATGAAACTAGACTAAGCCCTCTTAATACACCAGAAGTCATGATTATCTTTGAGAGTTGACTATATAATGTTCTTACCAAAAAAGGCATGGAATACCAAGGGTTTTAAAGACAACACATTTCATATTAACCAGAAGTCATAGTAATGATACTAAAGATTCAGCTTTTATAAAAGAATTCTAGGGTTACAGGAAGAATGACTGAGGCATCAGCTTGCACTGTGAGGGCTCTCTGGTGAAATAAAAAGAATTTAAAGCATTTTGGAATAGTCTGTACCCAATGTTACCTTTTGTGCCAGCCCTCCACAAACTGAAGGAAAAAAATGCTCAAGTGTGATGAAGATTCAGAATAGATGTTTCAATTTAATTCAGAAACTACTTTTTAAATTTAGGCTCCTTTTTAGTGCTTTTGGTCAAAATTTTTCAAGACTACTGGCTTGATAATGATTGTTAAGTCTCTTGTGTATTAGCTGAATCAGACCCAAACTAAGCCTGGCAAACCAGCACAAAAAAACACAACGAACTGATAAACCCTGGCCACTCAGGGAGTTTACACAGCCGTGACTTACAGCGCCTAACACCTGCAGCAGCTGGATTTAAATGCTTTGGTTGTCAAGCATAAAATGAACAATGATAAAACGGCATACTAGAAATACAGCACATGCTATATCACAAGGTTAAAAGAGAAAAGGGACTTACTCTTCCGACTGACAACTATCAGGAACGGTAACTGACCGAAATCTAACCTAGTGAAGTACTTTTTATAGTTTATTTGACTTTCTGGTTATTGAAGACAGCCTGCTTATGAAGTAAGTTTCTTTTCTAAGTCTCTATGCTCACGTAAATATTTAACTAAAATGCTAAAAAACAACACAAAATTTAGTACACAATTTTAAATTAGTTCCAAGTTGGTTAACTGAGTTTCTATGCTGAGATATTATGCCAGGTTGTTTTATCTTAAGTGCGTATCCCAGGGCATAAAGCATTTCAAAGCTCTATCAGCACTGCTTGTTTGTCAAGGAGAGAGGGAGGGAGGGATTCTGTAATCCCGAATTCATTTCTCCTGCCTGACAGTAAGACAAACATAGCAACATACCAGCTGATGGTGATTTTTATTCACCTCAGAACAAGTAAATTTACCTTTTTAGTTTCACCTCCCCCTTATGAAAATGAGCACCATTCACAAGTTCTTTGAAGAAGCAGGTCCATCTAATACTGATCTGCAATTTTAACGAGACCAGTGTTGACATGACATTTAAGGTCTTTGCAATTGAACCTTACAAAGTTGACTCTATCTGTACTAAAACTATGCTAACTGTACTGACTAGAATGCTCCTAAGTCAGTCATAAAAGGAAGCACTCTCTAGTCACTTCCCAAACATGTCAAGGATATTAAGGCATGGCCTCTAATTGAGAAATTAAATATGCAGTTCTAACAGCTATCAGGCAAGATAAATGCTTTTAACATAATGAGTGCATGGGAATCCACCAGTCGTTGGCATATCAATCAAGCTTTATAGAAAAGTCATTTATTGAAAAAACTAAGAGAACAATAAAACTACTTTACTGAAGACCTAAACTGAGACTTGGGATGAACTCATGGTGAATGGTGACAAAATAGTACAAAAATTAGTATTTTAAAACTGATTACCTGATCAAGAATTCTTCCCATTCTGTCAAATAAAACTTTCAAAAAATGACCTTCAAAGAAAGCTGCTTCTAAATTGCACTTCTCCAACGCTTTTGGAAACCTGGGCCATTCCCATCGTAAGCAGATAGCACAGTAGTCCCGGAACTGAGGAGAAAGCATTTGGATCATTAAAGAAGAACCATCCCAAACAAACTGAGACTGAATAGAAATGGTTTTCTCAAACAGGCACACACAAACCCATTTGGATGCTGAGGGTCCGCTCTGTGTGCAGTGCATGGGACAGGGAAGAGGAGATGATTGAGATAACGTAACTAGAGGCACGAGACGAGATTATACTCGCCAGTACCGACATATGCTAATGAAAACAATGGGCCTATTGTAATTTGACCAAAGCACCCCTGTAACAACTGTGCTTCTGCTCTTTCCTTAAGAGGAATTTTATCCTTAACTTCTTTTGATCACAAATTTAGAGAATATCTAAAAAGGAAAGTAAGTCCTAGCTACATTTTCAAACCTGTTCTAAAATGTAAGGTTAATAGATGAACAGATGTACGTTATCTGAGAAGGCAAGCTTGATTTTCCTCTAAAGCACGCATACCAGGCATGCCGGTACGACAGAATAAAACAGCGCTGCTCCAAGTGCGGTCCACCAACTGCTTGCTACTCTCATGAGGAGACGAGTACAAAACCAGGAGTGAGCATTTAGAAAACCTGCACTGTCATTTAACTGAGTAAATTCTACGCTGAATCTAATAAAATAATCAGGGCATATTTTGTGGTTTTTATTTTCATTTTTCTAGTAGTTCATTTTTATAAAAGTGTTGGTCTGTGATAGACTGGAAATAGGAAGAAACTGGCCTGCCTCTCACTATGTAGAGTTTATCACTGGAATACAGATTTTGACAGGCACAAGACTATCTCATATAATAAAAATTAATTTAAAAGTCTTTCCCAATATGTAATGTACTTGAATTTAAACAAAAGAGATTTAGAGTACAATTTCTTTCCACATTCGTTCCCTTCCCAGGTTCTCTTTATTCAATAAAGCAAAATTACTTTGACCTCTCTAGCTTATAAATTACCTGACATTAAAACAAAAAATTCTCACCATGAAGCACTAACTTCAACTTCTTAAAGAAAAATGTATTTCAAATCATTAAAGTCAACTGCCTCAATATATTGTGAGTTTTGAACCATTTGGCTTACAATAGACAATTTTCTTTATAAAACCACATCCTAGCATTTAATAAAGCATTTTTACATGAACACTTCTGAAACTCTGATGTAGAAATAGTTTAAAAATTTTCTATCCTTTCTGTTTTCTAGTATTTCTTAAACAATCATAAGAACTGCATTTGTAATCAGGAAATGGAAATGAAACCTTACAGAAAAAATAAAGGCAATTTAAAAAGCCAATTGGCACTACTGAAATTGGTACTCATTTTATTGCCTTTACTTCACAGGGAAGTACTTGCTACCTAATCCCTCGTTACTCAGGTAGTGATGGGGTGTTGAATTCAGGCTGAAAGCATTATGAATGAATTAGAGGAATACTCAAATCAATTGTTTAAAGCACTTCCATCCAAAGGATTTAAATGAAAATAAAATGTGTATTTTTCCGACTTGAGACATTTTAACATTTGGAATTTTTAAAATTCTACATAGAGGAAAGAAGACCGAGAGAAGGCCATTTAATAACTAAGATGAGACCTGTGAGAAAGTAGCTCAGTGAGGTTGAGAGCCAGCCTGCAGGGGACAGAGCAGCGAGCGAGTGTGACAGAGGTGCCCAGATACATCACTGCGTGTGTGGAAGGGGTGGGGAGGGGCAAGGGACGGTGGCAGGCAGAATCATTTAAAGATCAGCTTTTGGATCCAAAGGAAAAAGGAAAGAAAGGGAAGACAGAGGGAGGGAGGGGGGCAAAAAGAAATCTTAAGATAGGGACACACAGTCAGTGAAATGCAAAGGTCACCTGCAGAAAGTCAAAGTCAGGAGAGTGAAGTTGAGGTCTTGCAGAAAGAGGGAAACCTTTAGAGACCAACCGTGGGAAATGTGACGAGATGTGCGTGTGTGCACTCTTACTAGATTTCATTTCAAAACATGAGTTGCTTCACTTACCTGCCTGTGAGCATCTCGGAGGTAGGTGTCATATCCAGTGCCCTCAACATGGTAGGATGATTTTGCTTCATCGGGTACCAGACAGAGAAAACTTAAATGAAAAAGTCCTAATCAATAACATAAATACTCTCCCGATTCAATACCTTTAGAGGTACTAAACTATTTAGTGATATCTTCAGTTGAGTCAAGTATTAATGCAAATGGGAACATGGGAAAAAATTTACATGTTCTTAAGTATTTATTTTGAATCAGTCTTATAATTCACTGACTAAATACTCTTTCATTATTTAAAAGATTTTACTAAAAAATTACTCATTCCATTTAAAGTTGAAGTAAGCCTAAGATGACTTTTTTTTCCTTTTACATTACAGCACAATGACAGGTTGGCCTGATATTTGTTAATCTCAGGAAACTGACTTTTAAGTAATGTAATTTAAGATTCTTATGCACTCTAATTTTGCATCTTGAGCTACATGCAATTTTCTCTAAAGTCATCTGCCAGAACCAGGCATATTTATCAGCGTAGCACTGCAAAGGAAGACAAAGAAGAAAATTCCCAAAGAATGGGTACTTTAAAAAAAATGTAAAGACATAAACTAACGAAAAGGAATAGCCCTATGCTTAGCATACACAAGTACCTGCCTATTAAGTACAATTTGTCAAACTGGAAATTCTCATTGTTGTTCCACTTGGGAATTACTTAAAATTTTTATATTAAAAATAAGTAGGGTACTTTGAAGGTGTATATAACCCTACTACTCATTTTGATTTCTATGCCAACAGTAGAGTTTTCTCTTTTGCTATTGACTGTTACCCCTAGGCTGTCACTTGCTACATAAACATGACAAAAAGCTGACATAATCTTTAGATTAAGGGAGGGAGGATGCAGCTCATAATACATCCCTGTAACAATCTAAGAACAGAACTATTGTATGTTATAAAAACAACTAAAAGAGGTATACGTCAAACTTACCTATTTACAATTTTATGGACTTCAGTTTTTCCATCATTTTTGGGGTGGTCTGGAGTAGCAGGAGGTGAAGAAGTAAGCCACTCTTGATTTGACAAAGTGTTATCTGGTGAAATGTCAGTAAATAATGGATCTTCTTCCAGATCTCTAAGTGTAATTTAATGATGTATAAAAAAAAAATTTATTATATTTTCTAAACCCCAAAATTTCCCACTATGTTCTTAGGAAATATAACATAATTTTGCTAATGAAAGAGTTATGGAATAATGTATTTATATCTTATAAAGAAATTAATGTTTTATATGACGTCAAACTCAAGAATATATGGGTTTTGTTTAGGTTTAATGAATAATACCACCTGTAATTTAAAGGGATGGTGATATAACGGCATCTAAATTTTATTTTTTAAAACCTTAAACTGTTAAGAGGTATTTTTTTATGGATAAGGGAAAAAATAAGAGAGAAAATTATAGGTCTATATAAAACGCCAAATTCGTGGATTCAGAAAGGAAACTCACACTGCTCCTGCTATCAATCCATTCTCCGCCACATCTTTATCTTCTGGGCACACAGGTTTATATTCTGTATAATTTCTTTCCTCAAGATTTCTTAGGACCAAGTTGTAAAGAATGTGCTCATTGGGTTTTTGTAAAAGATGTTCAAACATTCTTAAAGTCATTATACTTATCTGAAACCAAAAACGATAAAGAGTAACTGAAAAATATTTTTAAATAAGTTATTCTTTTTGTCATCCTTTAAGTCATGCTTTCAGTCTTTAAGCCACATGAAAAAGAGCCCATACTCAAAACATCACAAGTATATTAAAATCAGCATTTCAAAGAATCTAAGTCTAACTCAAAATCATTAAACAGCTCACCTCATCAGATATATGATCACAATGTTCAATTAACCTCTGTCTTAAAGGATGTGTGCTAATTTCTGCCAGCGTTTCTGGATCCCTCTGTTCTCCAAGGATAAAATAAACCACTTCTTGAAGCAAAATGTCAGACGTTACTTGCCGAACAATGCGGTGCAGCAGAGCAGTTGATGTCAGAATACCCATCTCAGAACTGCACGCGACAAACAGGTCATTAGTGGGCAAAATAACATGGACACAACAAATTTTTTTTTTTCAGGAAAAGAGGCCACTCACGTTTGCATTAACTGAGGTTCCATGACACCAATAAAAAATCGTTCATGAACAGCTTTGGCAAGAGCAACAGCAGCAGTCTAGGTGATAAGCATAATTTTTTTTAATGGGAAAGGGAGATTAATTTGTAACATCAATAAATCAGTTTGTACTCTCCATCCAAATTAATGTGGAAAAACAAACTTACTGATTACCATCCTGTTGATGGCATACAAGCCTGGATTAGATGTTAGCTATTGGGTCCTTTACATTTTATCTAAATTTCTAACAACAAGAGAAACAGGAGAAAAATACCCCAATCAACTTACATTGGGGAATTAACATCTCCCCAAAGAGGAGAAATGGAGGGAGACGAATTTTACCTTGTGAAGCTTTCTACTGGAATATTTAAAGAAATATAAGGGCAGAAGTTGAACTGTGATTTATCCTATAGTTACAATACACACACACATAGATATATACATGTTGGTTTATTTGGTTTTATTTATTTTTACTATGTCATCCTAAGACAATTAAGATATATTTGCACATATAAACTGAGGATTCAAATTTCATTAATAGACATTTAGATTTTTATATTATCAATAAACAACAAAATCATCAAACCTTTTGTGCTTCCTTTATGAGTTGATCACAATAATCAAACCAGGAAAGAAATGAAATTAAGGCTCGTTTTCCTGGAAATGCTGACGCATCTTCTTTATGACTATATGAGTCCAAGCTGTAGGACAAGGAAGAAATGCTAAGTCCAAAGTTATCCAAAAGTGTTAATCCAATTTAATACACACAGAAAAATGAATGCACACAAATGAATTCACACAGTGTGATATATTTACACAGGCAATGCTGGATGGCAACCAGAAGAGGATTTTATAAAAGAAAGCCAAAGATAAGAGAAAACCTTTTAAAGAGAAGTTATAAATAATTTTCACTCATTAAGTGGGAAGAGAGAGACTACAGAGAATGCAGCTATAGGAGAAAAACCATTTAGACAGTTTCTCACTGTCCTGCCACAAACTTGACCAAGTAAGAGGAACAAAAAGTCAGGGGTTCTCAGCCACTGGCGATGGGCGAGAAGAAAGGTTAGGGAGGATCCGTGGAAAGAATGACTGGCCTGCTTGTTTTCCTGCCTTAAGACACAATCCAGCAGTAATGCTAACCAGTGGGTCTGCCCTACGGATGCGGACAGAATACAGGGTGGAGAAAAGCAAGCAAAAAAGCAAAGAAGGGTTAATATAATACCCTGAAAACCACTAACAGGTTACCAGGTCAAAGATTTAGACTGCTTACAGGTGGTGAGATTATGGGTAATTTCATTTATGCTGCTTTTTACTTTTTAATGATTTATAAATATCCTGGAATAATCACATTTTCCTGTGAGAATCAAGATAGGGGCCCTAAATGGGGTAAAAGAGTGAGGAAGGATTAGACACTGTGGGCAAGCAGGCCATGAAACACGGGAGACTGCCCTCGAGGCCACAGAACATATTTATAAAAAGAGGATCCCTTCTTTCAGGGTTTTTTGTTTCTTAAGAAAATAATGAGATAAAGTTATTAGTCTTAATGTTATAAAGGTCTTGACTGATCACTGTTGTGGACAAAGAAAAAGTCATTTGACTACGTTAATAGCTGGACTGTTGCCACACCAATTCATTCCTGATTGATAACAAATTTAAAACAGGACTCATTACTGATCACTAGTAACGTTACTTTTTTCAAAGCTCAATACCTCTATTATTGCAAATAGAAACAGATTTACAAGTGTAGAGGTAAGAAGCCACTTTATGGGCAAACACAAATAATGGTTCTTACCCCCAGTTAATCGCTTCCACTGTTTCAATATCCAGCGGGTCCACGGACTGAGGGAGGGCCCTGTACAGGGAGGCCAGTCTGTCTGTCAGAAGTTCACACAGGCAGGTGCTCTGCGTGAGGCACTTGGCGGCTGCGGGCTCGGGCAGACTGACCAGCAGCATCAAGCCCTCGCAGGCTTTCACAGCGATCCGGCCGTCCTGGGGGAAAGAGCACAGAGCCCTTCAGTTCCTGGATTAGATGTACGTCAGGCTGTTTGGAGAGATGTGACTTTAGAAGGATGTGGTGTTTTACACTAAACTAAGAATAGCATTGTTTTTCCATTTTAAGTACACATAACTGTAATCACGTCAGAAAAAGAGTAAAGATGATGACTCACAGGACTTCTGGTAAGATTTAGCAAAGAGTTCACTAAGTTGTAGTCCTGGTTTGGACGGACAAGTGTGGCCTCTGGCAGTGAAGTGATGGTGAGACCTTCCACGCTTGTGGACAGATCATCTATCTGATGAGGAGGCTCATCTCCTAATTCTGCTTGCTCCACTCCAACAGCACCAGACAGCTCCTCCGGCTGACAGAACTGCCCTGTATCTGTTGACAAGGAATCTTGACCTTTTAATGTGTCTTCTGAAATTACATTTGGTGCTCCTTTGGAAGCCAGTGATTTCAACTTATTCTGAAAAGGAATATGTATTTTGTAATATTCACATCAAAAACCTTATAAAACAGAAATCATTTTAATGGGGTTTTCTATAATTAGCATTCACTGTCTAGCCAATGTAACAGTGTTATGACAGATATTATGATAAAAGTGTTATGACAAATAAAAATACTCAGCCTTAAACTGTGTTTTAGGTATTTTTTAATTGCATAGGTCTTTATGACACTCTTCACACTGTCTACAAAATAATTCACACTGACCATAAGCAATAAGCAACATTAGTGGTAACTACCTGACTATTACTGAAAACACTGATGTTACTGGGGGGAAAAAAGATTCAGGAGGTTTCAATTACAGTTAGTTGTTTTCTCATCACTGAGCTACTAAAAATATATAGCAGGCTCAACGTTGATTCTTCTAAGACCAGTTTCCTAAGATTTTCCTTGTACTTTGGCTCTGTAAAGAGAACTCGATATTCTGAGGACATTTTTATTAGTGGTTTTGAGGATAAAGTAATATTTGCTTGAAATGTTTGCCCCTCCCCACAGCCACTGACTGCCCCCAAGAGAATCTTAACTGAAGCCAATTATTAGTTTCAAGGCAAAAGTATCTTACTTTCCATTTGAACACTGGAGCAAAAACCAAATCACACACACCTGTTAGAACGGATCATAAACCAGCCTCTCCACAGGGCCCACCGCAGCATTTACCCATCACAGAAGTGCATTAAATACTGGGTGAATTCAATGTTCTACTCTTCCCAGGTTATATTATGGATATCGTAAATCCCTTTTATTACTGTTAGAAGTATAGTTCAGACCAATCTTCTTGAGAAATTGAGCTCACAGCACATATATTGAAAGAAAACAGTTCCATGGAACTAAATGAATACATGAAACAACTTCCCAATTTCAAATTTGCACATCATCTTACCACACTGATGGACAGTGACTTCAAAGGGGTATGGGAGCAACTTGATAATATGGGTGAATGTAGTAACCACAGTGTTTTTCACGTGAAACAAAAATCAATTGCACATCACAGTCTATCCCACCTAAAATAGTAATGATATTGTTGGGAGTGGTATCTCAATACCACTGTGAGAGGAAGAACAGTCTTAGAATTAACACTCACTCCTTAGTGTTTCTCAGTGTGACTCAAGACTGCTGGCACCATGGTCTTCTGTGGGGCTTGATGACTGCAGGTTCCTGGGTCCCACCCAGACCTACTGAACGAGAGCATCCAGAGGTGGAGGCGAGGAACCAGCGTTTGGAAGAAGCCCCCTCGGTGACAAGGAACTGCTGGCCTCTCTTGCGCTCTGGTTCTTACTGTTCTCTTTCTACTCTGGGACTTCACTGGCACCCACAGCACAGCTATATTCTTAGCCCCCAAATCTCTAAAACCCAGACTGTGCTCCCAAACTGTGTATTTGCGATACCAAATACCTGCTAACTACCTCCATCTGGATATCATGACATCTCAAAGAGCATCCAGAACCAAAATTACCATTCTTCTCCTCAAAGCGAGTGCCCTCAGGGCTTCCTTTCCTTCAGAGGCAGCCTGTTGGTTCGGGAATTGGAGTGTTCCTCATCCTGTCTCCTGCCTCCAGTACAAGCCTGCTGAGTCCACCTCTGGAGTCCCCTGAGGACTCTCACTTCACTCCGACCTCCTGCTTCTGACTCACTTGTTACTTGCTGTCCGTGTTACTTTACCAGCTTGAAAGTTAGCTTCCCCGCTTTTGTCTCTCTTCTCAAAGGAATCCACTGTACAAGCTGCTACCACCAATTTAACTTCTTAAGGCACAGACACCATCATGTAATAACATCTCTGCTCAAAAATCCTCAGTGGCTCCCACAAATACCTCAGCCAACTTGTACAGGAGCCAGTCAAAGCCTTGGACAATTCCTAGTCCATTTGTCTAGGCCTTTTCTTACCACATATCCTAGTTATATTTTTTCCTGAATGCACCACAAACTCTTTTATCTTACTCATTCTTATCCAAATATCTGTCAAGGTTTATGTCAAATATAACCTCTTCCATGAATCTTTCCTGGTGACCTAAAACAGATGTAATTTCTTCATCCTACAAATACTAAAGGCACATTTACTTTCCTTTCTTACGGCACCTTGCTCTACCTTAGATGACTGTATCTGAGGATTAGTCTTATTCTCATCACCAGACTATAAACTTTAGCGCAATGACTTTCTAGCTCATTACCATATGCACTGAATCCATAATAGATGCATAAATTAGCTAATAAATGAACAGAACTTACATTTCAGGGAATACATGCTTGGGAATTGCAAAGTACTTTTGTTACTATCTATACTTACAATTAATAGAGCTGCATTTCTCTGAACATTCATTCCATAAGTATTAATTAAACAGTTATTATGCACCATGCTAGGTACCAGAGAAGCTGTGGGGACCCAAAGATTAATGAGTCTTTGTCTTCAAGGAGCTTATCAACCAGCAGAAAATAAAGTGCATACAAATAACTCTAATGCCAGGGAGACTGTACTGACATTAAAAGCATATGAATAATCCTATGAGTTCAGAAAATGGAGAAGCCTACCACCTCAGGCTTTGGAGAAGTACATGCTATAAAACTGTTGCATTATAGCAGATATGTTACTAATTCTGAAGGATGTTCTTTGCACTGATGTCTAAATATAAATATTTTTCTGAAGATAAAGTAAATAAAGAACATCTCATCATAAACATACATATGCCTGCAAATTTTCTCTGCTTCTAGGCTATGGCTGTGTACTTCTGAAGAAGTTTCAGAGAGTCTGAGAAAAATCCCTTAAAGCTTAAGCATGGAAAATAATCCACGCATTTAAAGTAACTAAGGTATCTGAGAAAACTTCAGTAAAATGAACTTTCAGAAAAAAAGTCATACTTAACCAAATTAGGATATTTGGTATATTTGTATCAAAAACTAAAATGGCTATGATATCACCCTCAATAATAAATCTTTAAAATCTGAAATCCTAAGGTTCTTCCAGCCATTTTGAAGCAAACTTTCAAAATATGATGCTTACTATGAAAAACAGGCATCCCTAGTCCTTTGAACTACTGCCTAGAAATTTAAATTCATGCAATTCTGCAGCTTGGCTGTTTACCTACCACCAGTAAAACTGCAGAATAAAATCCTGAAGTACTTATTTAGTAATGTGCAATAGAACAAGAACCCACCTATTAGAATGGCTAAGATTTTAAATCAGAACAAAACAAAACTGTAACAAGACCCACTCTGACAAGGATGTGGAACCATAGGAACTCTTACAATTTTGACAGGATGCACAATGATAAACCCACTTGAGAAAACAGTTTGGCAGTTTCTTATGAAAATAAATATACACTTACTACATGATCCAGCAAACCTACTCTTAAGTATTTACCCAAGTGAAATAAAAACCTAAAGTCATACAAAAACCTGCATGTGAATGTTTCTAATAGCTTTACCCATTAATTGCTCCAGACTGGAAACAACCCAGAACTTCCTGGAATGAAGAATGGATAAATAACTAACCCTAGCACACCTGTAGAATGGACTACTACTTAACAATATAAGGACCAAACTCATGGATGAATCTCAGGTGCATTATGCTAAGAAAGCCAGACCTGAAAGGCTGATTACATTTTATGACTTTCTGAAAAAGAGAAAACTTGGGGC